TGGGTGTCGGGCTTGCGGAAGAAGGCCTCCGACTTGACGTAGAGCGGGAGGTTGCAGTAGTCACCTGCGAGGGGAAGCGGAGGTGGGTGAGGTGCTGGAGGGGGTCCTGCTCAGCCCAGGGACCCCTCCTGGCCCCCTCCTGGCCCCCACCCTCTCTCTAGAAATGCAGAATACAATCATCCTGTCCTAGTATGATGAACACATCATGTTCATCCTCTACGCAGTGCCATGTGTAGAGTCTATCAAATGACAGCATTCAATGTCTTATGTAGGATATCTATAAGCTATTACAATGGGTAAAGGTAAATGGTCACTCTAAAAAAAAAAAAAAAAACCAACCCAAAACAACGCCCTGTATTAGCCAACACTATAAAAATAGTCTTACTTGCTTTTACGTATGTCATCTGTTAAGTTTTCAGATATGCTATATTGTATGTAATAGATTGCATTGTGTTATCGGTTTGTCCGGGATACAAAGTGTATCTATCCCATGGTGCTGTATAGTACAACTATTCACACAAAATACATTAGGGCAGAAATGCGCTATGTTTGATGTGTACTGTATACTGTAAAAAAATGTTTGCTGGTGTTGTTATTAGATGAAATAGCATAATGTACTATCTGTACCACGTACGTTGTTTGCATGAGCATAGTATACTTTGTTGTGTTAGTCCTTCAGTTATGGTACTGCAGTTAATACATTAGGGTTTTTTATATTCTGTCAAAGATACATGTACAAAACAGCTAATGCAGTCTTTCTTTACACATATAGTAAGCACCACTTATTGTAACACATGTAACATTACTGTAGCATTATAAAAGTAAAAGCAGTATAACTGTAGTGTAGTTTATATTTGTGTTATTAGCCTGTCTTATTCCAGTTCAAGTATTAGACTATACCATAAAATACAATATACTGATATAATGTCTGAACGTTTTTTTGTCAGTTAAACACTATACTGGTTTTGTATTACTTGTTACTAGGTAAGACATATACTACTTAATGCAACACATAGAAACACAGATATCAATTTCACACTGAATGTAGTGTGGATATTTTTCTGCAAGACATTACATAATTGTGGATATGCATGAAGTAAGAGTTTAACTGTAAGCTAAAAAACATGGTTTTTGAAGAGCCAGCTCAGGCACTCTATGTATTATATATAAATACTGTCTCAAATGGTTCTGCTGTGATGTTTCTGATGATGAAAACCAGGTCTTGAATCAAATTGTAACGTTGCTGTTGCTAGAAGGGTTGTATTATATGGTCTTTAGGGCAAGAGATGGCTCGAAGGATTGTGCCCCAGTGCATGGTCACTGGGGGGGTGAAAGACAAGTCACAAATGGTGGCATTGTCTTTGTGTTACAGAGACAATGACATAGTGGACAACCCTTAGTGCTTTATTGTCAGTGATGAAAGATGACTCTATTTTTCCACAGTTGTGTTGCTGAAAGCTGACACTAGAGGTACGAGACGGTGAAATTTCAAAACTTTGTATATGGGAAAAAGTGAAAGTTGCACTGTACTTAAATATTTGTGTGGAACAAAACGTGTGGTTAGAATGGCTATATTGTAAAACATGGCATGTTTTTTAATCTTCGATATCTAAAGAACTATTGTTACAGTGTAAAATATAAAGGCAAGTGGTAATGTCCTGTTGCTTTCCACCGCGTTCCTTTAGTGTGTGAAAAGTTGGTGAGACTGGTGTTGTCTGGTGGTAGAAGGATGTGCCAACTGGGGAAGGGTAAAGGGATGAGGGGAGGGAGGGGCGAAAGGGGAGGCTGGCACCCAGGGGCTATTTGTTTTCTCCAGTGCACAACACGTTGCCCAGGAATCATACACCCACAGACAAGGTACGTACTCTTGCTGGCACGGTGAGGGATGGGTACGGCCACGCTCTTGCCCCGCTCACTGTCCTGGGGTTTGGGAGGGGAGGCTGTGAAGCGACAGATGCCAGGCTCTGACGGGGTGCTCATGGAGGTCATGCTGTCTGCATTGTCGGTGGTGCCGGTGGTCATCTGGTCTGAAGAGCTGTCAGAGATGAAGCACTCTGTGATCTCAAACTTGGCATGTTGCAGCTGCTCCTCCAGCTTTGCGTGCTCGTAGGCACGTGCCAACTCCTCGTAGGTAGATGAGGCGCTCTCCGTTGACACCATGCTGTTCCGCCCCTTGTCTGTGAAGGAAAGGACGCATCGCGTTTTCCCCAGCCTGGGACTGCCCTTTCCCACACCATTGTCATTTCTGGGAACGCCCAGGCTGTCTTGCTGGGATACATGCAGCCATCTGTCCCCAGAGCTGGACACAGCCCTTGCAGCCACCGCAGAGCTTGTGGGGGGCACGGGGAGAGGACAGCACCTCCCCACGTCTGCCAGGCTGGGCAGAGCCCTGCACCCACGCTCCATCAGTAAACCTGGAGCTCAACAGCTCCGAGCGGAGCCAGGAGCACCAGGCAGGGGCCACCATCGCCTGCTGCCGCACGGAGACTGTGCGACCTGGCACGAGAGCCAAGGACCCCTTCCAATTTATGACACCGTTGGTAATCTTTGGGCTTGCTGCCAACACCCCCCCTGTACCCCAAACCAGCAGCTCCCTGCCAGCAACAGCCCCGAGGCCGCTCCAGTGCTGTCCCCTGGCACACCTGTGTCCTGAGAGAGGCTGGCGCTGTAGCTGTCGCTCTCGGTGACGGTGATGCCGTGCTGGGAGCCCACTGTCCTCCAGTCAGAGGTGAGGGTGCGCGCAGGGGTGGACGCCTGGCACTTGGTGAGGGTCCACTGGCTGGAGTAGCGGTTGCGGGTGCTGTGCGCAGACTTCACGACGCGCGTCCGCTACACAGGGGCTAAGGCACAACGGTGGCAGAGTCACAGTGGGTCACTCAGACAGCCAGGACACTGTCCCGTCTGCCAGGAGCGCTCCCCACTCCTTCCGCCTGACCAACAGCTGCTTTTAGGTGCGGGCGGTGCTGGGGGACAGGGCCTGCACCCCAGCACCCTCTGGCTGGTCCCTGCACATCCCCTTCCATGGAGCTCTGTGCCGGTGCCTGCAAGCACCCAGTGCTGCTCCCAGCAACCCACCCCACGTGGCCACAGCCACTTACTGGTGCCAGGGCGGATGTCCGACATGTCGATGAGGGGCCCCGTGTTCTGGATCAGAGCGGGGTGATGCAGCGAGACGCCTGTGCAAAAGCTCTGGGGGTTCACCGCCTGACTGAACTCCGTGTCGGTCACCGGGATCGTGGCTTTGTCATCCCCTGTGGGAAGAAAGCCAGAGCTCCGACCTCTTTCTCTAGCCAGGTTTTTGCAGTAGGCACCTGCTAGCCCTTGCTCAGCAACCCCCTACCCAATGGGATTCCCCTGGCTTCCCTGCTGCAGGGCACCCCACTTCCCTGCTGCAGGGCACCCCACCAGCGCTCGGGGGCATATAGGGCCAGGCAGTTTGCACGGCTGTTCTCCAGCCAGGGCAGCAGTGCAAAGGCAGAGCCGGGCGAAGGAGGCTGCTGCGGGTGCTGCCAGCACAGCCAGCAGCAATGCCAGGGGAGCAGGACCTGCGGGCACGGCCCTGCGCCCTGCTCCGCTGCAGGGTAGGAAGGGGACAGCCTAGGGACACCGCGGGCTTCTTGGGGCCAGCCAGGATGCTGCTGCGGCCAGGGTTGGGGCCCCACACCGCAGGGAGCGCGTGGTGCTTACCCAGCTGTTTGATGCCTTCCTTGTCCTCGATGAGCAGCTGGACCCGAGGGATGTCTATGTGCAGTCGGGGGCCCTGGGGGGGGTCCGCTGCAGGGTAGGAAGGGGACAGCCTAGGGACACCGCGGGCTTCTTGGGGCCAGCCAGGATGCTGCTGCGGCCAGGGTTGGGGCCCCACACCGCAGGGAGCGCGTGGTGCTTACCCAGCTGTTTGATGCCTTCCTTGTCCTCGATGAGCAGCTGGACCCGAGGGATGTCTATGTGCAGTCGGGGGCCCTGGGGGGGGGCCTTTCCCGGCGGGGACACCTGCCTCGTCCCTCTGGCAGGCAGGAGCAGGCAGGAGCAGCAGGCTGCTGCAGCACAGATATCCAACACAACCCTCACCAGCCTAAGACCGGGAAGGTCTGAACCCAGACCTAAAAGCATGCAGGACCACCCCTGCCACCCAGCATTCCCTGGCTTCCCCACCCCTTGCCACCCAGTCCAGGACCCACCTGATCAGCATTTCAGCCAGACTCTTGGCATCTGTGGGAGAGACACAAAAGACAAGGA